ATGGCTGTCGCGGATGATTCCGCTCCATCGCGCCGTGATGAGTGAGGTGACGATTCCGGACCACTAATGGGATGCTGTTCATGCCACAGTATGTCAGGTCACGGTTCTGGGCAGGGGGGTGGGAATGCCTGTGACTGGGGCAGAGGTGCTGGAGTTAAGGATCAACTGGTTGTCGTTCTCTGTGGGCAGGGCGCTCTTTGGTGCAGCTTGGATCCATCTGCCTTACTGTTTATCTACAGACAACATATGGAGAGAGCAAAACAGCATCAGGGTGAAAACCTGATATTTCTCATCGCAGTCGTAGGAATCCATGGCAATATGCTCCACTATTAGTATGTAGAGAAAGAGCTGGAATCTTTCTGCAGCCTTAGCCTTCACCTAATTGGCCAGAGGACAGGCTGGCAGAGGGCTGTGGTGTCAATGTCAACGCCTACATACAGAGTGGAAATATCAGTCCTGGTTCCCACGTTCTTACCGCGGCAGAATAGAGTTGATGTTCCCAGGGTGCTGTAATACCAGTTCCCGATGCCTTTCTGGTAGGTAGGCGTGGCTTAAAACCGAGGGGTATCCCACAGGAGGGACACTGGCCATGATTTGGAGGCTCAGGAACCATGAACTGGCTCGCCTTCCACCTAGGCGGGTCGGAAAGCTGGGATCCCTCCAAATGGGTTGGGGTTTAGGGGCCCATACGTGGAATTGGGTACGTTACATCACATGATGAAGCCCATAGCTCTGTCGAGACGAAGAAGTGGGAAACCAGAGCTGGAATAAGTGTCCTTTCTCCTTTATCTACTGAGGGTGTTCATCTGGTGGTCCAAAAGTGTCCCACTACTCCACCCAGGACATAGGGTGTCCCATCTTGCTGTGTCCTCTTGGAGCTGCACACATGCCGTATTGATTACCCCATGCTGGTCTGTGTTTCATGATCAGCCAATCAAAACTGGATTTTAGCAGTTAGCACCCCAAAAGCATGTCATGCATTTCTGTGAATAAGATCAGACAGTCAAGTTCAGATAGTCGCGTTTTTAATTACTCCTTATATGGTTAGCATGGATGGACAATCACTTCATATCGGTGTCTGTCTGCTTCTGCTAAATCACTGACATACTGCACTAATCGAATCTTGCCAATCAATAAAACACTTAAGAACAGCGAAACAGTCCTTCCCAACTTCACACTGAACAAACACATGGCACAGGAGGCCAGGTGACTTATCCACTCCGCCGGAGCCATAGGAACCTCTGAAACGCCGTCATGTGACCCACAGGCCAGGACTCCTTTCTATCTTCGTGATGTTCCCAGCCCCTTTTGACTCACTTTAAGTAATAACATTTTTTAATAGTAGCACTAATACAGACTGATCAGCTTCACCATCTGCTGTGAAGCAATTAGATAAAATTCTTGTCTCCAAGTTTCATTTGTCATGTTCAAAAGGTTGAAAGGACTTGTCTGAAGTCATGTATGGAGTTACTCTATAGTAACTGCTTTCTGCTGAACATGAAACTGATAATCACATGCAGTGGATGGTGCCAGAAGGGGCCATATGTACCATGTGAGTGATGTACCATACGTACCATGTGACCTGTAGCGGGATGTACCATACATACCATGTGACCTGTAGCGGGATGTACCATAAGTACCATGTGACCTGTTGTGGGATGTACCATATGACCATAGCAGGGTTGTGTGGGAAACCATGATGTTCATGTCCTTAGTTTTGGAGATCAATACATTTTTTTTGGGGGGGGGGCACTCTGCTGCTCCCACACGAAAGGAAGGACCTCCTGGGTTAGGTCAAGCTGCTGAATAGGGACAACAGGTGTCACGGTCGCGGAGTGACAGCCCCATTTACTGGGGGTAGTCTTCTTTTGGGGGGTAGGGGGGAGTCTGCCACAGAGAGCCAGTGCTCCTCAACAAAGCCAAAGAAAGATAACGAGTGCAGCTCGGAGATAGAGGGAGCAAGAGAAAAGTGGGGGAGACTCTTGTCAAGGAATCTATTTTAAAGGGTAAGGCAGGGAACAAGCGTATCGATGGAGGGAACTAAAGGGGCCGGGCTGTGAAGGCTGGGGGGGGTGGAGAGGGTAGATGAAACGCTTGATTAATTTCGAATAAAGGCCAGTGGCTGTCAGGCGTTGGAGACAGACGGTGGAGTGAGGCGGAGACAGGGGTTCGGGGGGGGGGGGGCGTCATTGTGACAGGCCAGGACCACCGGGACAGGTGCTTTGTAAGGGCCTCTGCCCGAGCCCTGAGGTGGCTTTTTAGTGCTGCGACCCAGTCCGCCTGTCTCGCCCTTCATTTACTGTTCTAGCCTGGAGGAATAGACCAGGACCGGACCGGCTCCGACGGCTGGACCACGCTGCCCTGTCCGCCTCGGGACATATGTATCATGTGATCTGACGGGGGGTGTTGGGAGTGAGCGTTAGGTGTCTTACGACCAACAGCGGCGCTGTTCTCTCGAACCCGTCCTTTATCGCAGAATGAGTCCCACTTAATCTTGGGTCTCTGCGTCCAAAATAAAGAGATCTGAAGCACAGACGTCAGCTGTGTGCTCTGAGGTCCGTGGATATTCACCTTATCCCCAGCATCTCGCCGCCCTCTGGCCGTTAGTCCGTTTTTCTGTGCCCTCGCTTTTTATCAGGCTGTCCTTACTTTCACGCGTTTCTCTCCACCTTGCCTCACCCCTGTGGATGCCGCACCAGATGCACGCCGTGTTTTGGCAATAACGGCGCTCCTCTATCTCACCAAACAGCTGTTGGCTGCTGGATCTTCTTCCGCCCAGCGCTCGTTATTTTACATCTGTCATAACTGTTTTTCAGAGGAAGTTGTTAAAACTGTATGATGACTGTTTGAATAATCTGTTTTAGGCAAATCATGAAATTACATTTGCCAGGGAACTGGTTAGAGCAGGGTTTTTTTCCTTAATGAAGTTACTGGTCTTCGGGCGTGTGAAGAACATCGAAGAACCCATTCTAGCTTGGAGTAAGTGATCGAGAGTAATAGTGTCAGGATCAGATCATCAAGAGTAATGGTGTCAATATCAGAGCATCCACAGTAATAGTGTCAGGATCAGAGCATCCACAGTAATAGTGTCAATATCAGAGCATCCAGAGTAATAGTGTCAGGATCAGAGCATCCAGAGTAATAGTGTCAATATCAGAGCATCCAGAGTAATAGTGTCAATATCAGAGCATCCACAGTAATAGTGTCAGGATCAGAGCATCCACAGTAATAGTGTCAGGATCAGAGTATCCAGAGTAATAGTGTCAGGATCAGAGCATCCAGAGTAATAGTGTCAGGATCAGAGTATCCAGAGTAATAGTGTCAGGATCAGAGCATCCAGAGTAATAGTGTCAGGATCAGAGCATCCAGAGTAATAGTGTCAGGATCAGAGCATCCAGAGTAATAGTGTCAGGATCAGAGCATCACGCAAAGCTGTTGGAGGGATCTGGGGTTGGACTTTGACTTTGATGCCACAGTTGAAGCTAAAATGAATTTACATTTTATATATTTACCAGACACTTTTGTCCAAAGCAACATAGAAGTGAGGCAAACAGAACAAATATTGCAAACACAAATGCTGTCACAGAGTTGATTGGGCATGAGCAGCTAGGCTGAGCTTCCATAATACTGTTATGTTTGTATTTATGAATCTTGTATTGATTTGTGTTTACCCTTTTATTTGACATGTGCAGACTTTTTCGGGGAAAATACCGTGCAGAACCATGAATGTGCTCATGTCTGAATTATAGTACAAATGATTAGTTCATGAAGACATCATGTCTATTCACTATACAGCACTTCCTCTTTTACATAAAATGTCTTAGAGAGGAGCTTTTTGAGTAGGATCATGTGTTCTATTTAATGATCGTTTTGCTGCTATATGCTTGCTAAATGTCCACCCATCCTTAAACCCACATGTGCTGATGTTCTGTGTTCCCACTGCCCAGGGGCGGTTGTAGGATCTGATCCCTAGGGGGCTCAGCCCACAGAAGAAATAAGGGATGTCACCCCCCCCAATGAGTAACTTTGCTGAGGGGGGTTATCCCCATGATAAAATTTGCCAAGTCGGGGGTATGTAATATATAGGACAATCTGGGACAAATCGCTAAATGGTTTTAGAAAAAGTGTTTTCAGCGGGGTTGAGACTGAGATGGTCATGTGTGACTTTTCAAAAGGGGAGGGGTCTTTGACGTACCGCAGGACTGAAAAGGCAGGTGAGTCAGATCGTCTATGGCCAGTGACCCTTCTGACAGGTCTTTCATTATGAGAAAATGATATGTTAATTGAGCTACAGGTCTCATTACTACACCCCATATTAAAGCCATATGCAGAAGATCCAGAGATATAACAGGGAGGAGTATGTGAGTAGGCAGGAAAACAGCATGGCTGAAATTATCCAGCTATTGTCTGTGCCTCTTATCTAAGGGAGAGTCATGGTGAACTGGGTTAGGCCATATGCAAAATCGCAGGCTATACGTCACAAAATGAAGCTTTAATCACATTTACCAAATTCCTTTTTTCATATTGCATGCATTATGTTGTGCAATGGGAAAAGCTTTATTTGGACACAATAGGAAAAAAACAGCTGAATTCACATTTACATGGGAATCCAGCAAAGCGAGCCGTCTTCCCGTAACTGTAGCCAGGGCGATGTCTCCGTCACCATTCCAGTCGTCCCAGTATGGATTCCCAGTCTCTGTACCTATACCAAGCATCTTTAAAAAAAAAAAGATCTATGTTTTTTCCTGACATGTAAATTCAGGTCTATCCCAGTCTAGACGTACATCACCTGATGTCGCGATATATATGCGTCAGAGTAATGGACGTGAGCTCAGTAAACATATTCTATCCATTATACCAAACGCTAACACGTTTTTACATCAGATGCTGGCTTTCACCTGTCCATTTACCTGGGATGTGCCCTGCCCGCAAGTGTATTGTATGTTCCAACAAAATGTCTCTCGAAGGTAGGCTATAATTCACACTGTGATCCATAAACGTATTGGTCAGACAGAACAATTTATTCCTTAATGCTCACCACTAATAATCAATAATGTAAGCATATACAATCCCGGAAAACCATAGTTTTTATTTTCAATGCGTCATGCATATTTTAAGTTTCAGTCGAATACAAAACATCATATAGCTTCTGCAAATTCATAAAAGTGCAAAAAACAGTGTATTCAGATTCACCGTAAACAAACAAGCACCGCTATTCTTTCAGGAATACCATCCTTGAAGAAAGTGCAAAAACGACTTTAATTAAACATGCGCATTCCCTGCAATTTAGTGAGCTTCTCCGTGCGTGCATTTTAAAAACAAGCCTATATGTGGGGGAAAAAAATCATCATACAGAATATTCACATAATCTCTACTCATTTACGTATCCCATGCACGAATCCCATGCGTTAGGTGTTGACATCTGTAAAGGTTCAATGAAGCCTTACAATAAACACTGATCGTAACAATAAAATTCAGAGGTTAAAAAAAGTTTTTACCCTCCGGAATCAAAGGAAGGTAACGTTAAAAACGAGGATGAGGAAATAATTAGATTTAACATTCCTTGTTTTTCTCGGAGTAAAAAGAGGAAAACGCACGTTTCCCGAAAGTTCACGCGGAACGGCAAGACATTCATGTTTCATTTCTAACGAACTTGTTTCAGTGAATTACAACAATGACGCCACTTTCCGAAAGCAACAGGGCATGCTGGATTTACTTTCTTCTTCGCGATCATTACCGGCGATTAAAATATTCTCACATCCTAATCGAAATACTTTGCATATCTCTAGCCACCCTGGAAACCAAGTACGAGGGCGACATCCATGAGCAGGTTGCGCGCCAGCAGTGCACTCACTCCCGCGGCGCGGCCGTGGTTAGTTCATCCCGACGATGACCGCTTCCACGTCCCTAGACGGTCTCCGCTCCTTCACGAGAAAGTTGATCATGCTTTCTGACTTGATCATCAGATTGCAACCGAGGAAAAAGATGCCAAAGATCACCGTTAGTGACAAAACGCACAGCACCGCTATCTGGACCACCCGCGTAACGAAGAGTTTGCGCTCATCCGGAGGCAGAACCAGCGAAGTTCCGTCACTTGTGGCTATGGTGCTCCCGTTACAGCAGCCCACCAGGGTACCGGCCAAGTCCTGGCTTCTGTTGAAGAACAATCCCTGTGTGAGGACAGTCTGGTTAAATAAAGTGACGTTCATTTTTTTCCGTCGCTCAAATCGCTGTAGGGTTCCAATGATGAAACAGTTCCTGTTGTTCTGTATCAATATTGTGTGAAAAGAAAGGTATTCGGAGAAAACACAAAAATTTTATTGAGTAAATATTTGGGGTGAAAGCGTAAAAATGACAGCTCCAGCAATATGGTAGTTTGTTTCAGTAAACTTTGAAGAAAGTGACGCCTCTCGTTTTTATTGCCAAATGAATCGCAGGAGAATAGAGCGCAGGTCTTAGTATTTCGTACCAGCAGGAAAACTAACCATGCAAGTCAGCCGTAAGCGGATCACCGTGGTCTTGTAGTTCTCTGTGTTTTTTTCCCCCTCGCTTTCCTTCTCTTGTTTTTGTCGTTGGGTTTTACGTGGTGGACAGGGGGAGGTGGTTTTAGCGGTACACCTGCTTTTGCGAAGTGTCTTATAGGAAAGCAGAGCATTCAAAGCGGGGGACACAATGATTTTCTTTTGGATGACACCACCAGCATCTCCATTTTGGGGGAGTTTGAAATTTTAGGGTTCGCGGCACTCTTGAACAGAGCTCAAACACCACCCAGCACAAAGCAGCTTTACCAAGCAAATTACATCTGTGGTACACAGTTGTAGCCGATACGATTAACTAAGCACCGATCCAAGATCTTTAAAAGTTTAATGATTGCTATTCTCCACATTTCAATAAGAGACGATACTACCGTACATATTCCAGTCTACCCAAAAAAATTTAATTCTCAAAACAATAAAAGAAGCAGATGTATTTGAAGTTATTCTACCACTGTGCGTAATTCGTCAGTCACAGATATTGTTACATACTATGTTGGGATATGCAAATAATTAAAAAAAATCTGATTAGCTAGCTGATTGTACTATGCATAGGTATTCATGAGGAAGTGGGAGAGAATCAACCATACAAATAAATACACTGAAATGCTATAGCTTTTGTTTACAAATCAGTCATAAATATACGTTATTGTTATTATTCACATTATTCGTGGATCTATATTATTTCAAGCTAATTGAAATCTACGTTTTTAAAATTTAAATAAACTGCCATTCTGACAAATATCGGCGACCCACTGAACGGAACCGCGCCTTTGCCCTCCCTCGCGTTATGTAATACGTGCTATTTTCCCAGAGATTATTCCACGCGAAACTGCAGCGCTTCCTGACATCCCAGTCTTATTAAACTGCGCTATCTAAAGACCCCTTTATATTTAAACGAGTCTTCCATGTGAAGGTCTTGGTTGAAATTGCACAGATCAAGATGATTTTCGTGACCATAAATATTTTTATGTGTTGGAAAGGACTTTTGAATGCTTCCTTGCGTTTTCACTGCCTCTTAGTTAAATGTTGTCATTTGATGCCGCAAAGCTACAACAAACATGATTAGCTCAAGTAGGCTGTAAAATGTTGTTTTACGATGACCGTTTAGTTGGGAGCGGTCGTTCCTTTTATATTTACCATGGGAACAGAAATCAACTGATGGCACGTTGACGCAGATACCAGTTTTAAGCAAATTGTTATTTCAACTAGGGTATATTAAGAGAGCAGTCAACGCTCAACCCAGTTTAAATTTCGGATTGCCAGAGTAATGAATCCTTCTTATACCATACAAGGGAAAATCGACTCTAATAAAAGGCATTCGACGTGTGCGGCGCTCCTATACAGCTATTAAAATAATTCGATGGTTTTACACGTTAATCTTTCTAATTTCAATTCGCTCTTTCAGATTGAATCAACGTTTGCACAGAAAGGGGCCACACTGTACCATTGTTTCATTTGAATATCTCTTTAGTTTAGACGTGCGCACATACTTTAAGCAATTAGAGGAATCCAGATTCAGCGCCTTAATTCAGTCACTCCTGAGACTTTACCCCACGGTATTTAATTCATGAGGCCACGTATTTAACAACAGTGGTGCCAACTTCCGTGACCCTTGCCATGACATTAATTTTTCATTCGCGCTCTCCATTTCAGATCAAAAGTGTTTTCCGTATATTCGATTGCTAAAATTATTATATTCATCGAAATAGTTTTTTTTTTTTTTTTTACCATAATCTGCTTTAAACAAGAAACTTTGTAGTAATATCAGAACAACAAAGGGACCGTCTTTGCAGGCATAAATGATTTTGGTCGCAGAGCTGTAAATCCGCACGCTGACTTATGCTTTTGCGTAGAATCTACGCCTCCGGTACGGCGTTCGCGTACGTTACGCCTTTCGCCGTAGCCTGATCCCACAAGGGGCCTTGCTGTAGCATACGCGGTTAGCACCCATGTATTCTGTATCGTTCTGGTAAAACATCTCTGGTAAAACATTTGTAAGCTTTGGATGAATGCAGCGACAAAACATTATTTTAAGCCTGCAAGCAATGGGAGGCAATTACAAATGATCATTCACCAGTGCATTCACTAGTAAACCATATATATATTTGCCAATAAATTCGCTGTAGATATTTGCACTTGCCACTTACGTAAAGTGCTCAAATTTATTTTGTCATTCAGTCCCTTACTTATTTAATGTAAGCCTGTTACAATAGGCTATACTGGCGCAAAGTAATTTCGATCCAGTTGCGGTATGACGCGTCACATTCTAACGATCGTATTCACAGTAATTAAGGGATTTTAATGAATGATTGCCTTTGGTGTTTCCTCTTGATTAAATTCAAAAGACTGCAGTACGAAGTGTAGGAGAGATGCATCATTGGAGTGATTTAAATTTAATGTTCAATTTACATGTGCTATAATTCAGCTTTGCATCTCTAAAGTAGATTGTGTTTTAGCAATGTGTCTGCAATGCGTGGATATTGCCAAATTAAATACTAAGCCGATATGAAAATGAGAGATTAGTATTTATTAATTTCTAATGTTTAAGGGCAGCGGTATCATTAAATAATGACACATTTTACGTATTGTAATAAGGTAGGTCGATATTGCAAAGTTTTGTTTTAAACAGAAATGTTTCTTAAAGCGTCTTAATAGACGCTTTGTGGCAAAATGGTTTATATTCGTCCTCTGCGTGTTCGTGTATAGAACATACCTATGGACATTAATATAGATTATATACCAGGATCTGATTTGTTGCCTAGCAACAATGAAGCAGTACGAATAGCAACAGACGGTTGAGAAAGTTATTTTGGTTAAAAAGGGAGGGAGGAAGGATGAAGAAGTCGTGAGAGCATTATTGCTTAACTGGATGGAATCAGCAGCCTAGCAACTCAAAGTAAGTGGAGTATAACCCCTTAGCAACGGGGAGACACTGAATAAGTTTCTTTTGACCTTTTAATATGACTCATATAGGTTTGATGTGTAGGCCTATATATATATATATATATATATATATATATATATAGACACACATACATAGGCAATCATTCATTCATAAATCTTCCATACCACTGATACAACACAGGGTTGCGGTGCTGGATGTATGTAAAAGCGAGGCTCCAGTGGAGTAGGAAGTCAACGGTTGGGGTTTTTACAAGAATTTCTTCCATCTCCCCTTAATTACTGGTCCGATCTGTTGCAACAACTCAATGCTGCATACAGACACGCAGCTCTGCCGGCGGCATCTTGGTGGTCCAACGACAGTTACCCCTAGTGCGCCTCACGCGGTACAGGCAACCTACACACGAGAAATGCAGCCAGCTATTACCGTTAAGTCGCCAGCCATTGTCAATTTCCTCATCATCTTTAATGAAAGATATTATTAAACGTCTTGGGGGGTGAAGCAATGCGCAGCCTCGTTCCATGTGTTGTGGTTACAGACCAGTGATTTCATCTCAGTATGTAAGTCCAAACTACCATTATAAGAATTCTAGAATGAATAGGCTGCTGTCGCGTTAATAGCTTGTAATCTATTGCTCTCCCCCACTCCAGTACAATGCAGGTCTGACTCGGCTAAGGTTTTATTTGTTTGAGAGAGGGGGGGGCAACCGCGAGGGGACGAAAGCAATAAAAGCAATCAGATAAAATCTGCCAATAGAGAAGCGTCAAAAGAGCTTTAACACCCCTGGAGCAATCAGGACAAAATGCCAAAAGACTGCAGGGGTATTATAGCCTATCTGTTTCCTTTCCCGTTTATCGTCGCCGCGGTTCTCACAACGCCCGGCGACTGTAACCTAGCAACTGGCGGCGACTGAGGATGGAGGTGGGCATAGGCGCCAGGATTCAATAAGAGAGCGAATAAGCAGATGGATCAGAGGGAGGCACTGACACTCCGTGCTCTGGTCATTTTCTAGAAGGTGCCAATGCTGGTGAAAATGAACATTGATCTGGACCCCAACCGCCACCCCCCCCAACCACCACCTACTCTTTTCCCCCCGCCTGTCTCGCCTTCTCTTATTGAAGAACAATCTGTTTGTGCAGAATTAAATTTTGGGCTGGATGGAGGGTAAAACTCACACTGAAGCATTCTGACTAATTTTGCTCTGTTAAGAAAGTGTCTTGGCAACCTATTGCTGGTGGAAACTACATTTGAATTGCAAGCTTGTGTTGAAAAGCATCATATATTCTTAATAGATATAAATTCTATAAGGACAAAATAAGAAGAACAATTAAGAAATAATAGCCATTTTAAATGAAATGTTTGTGTTCATTTTTGTTTTTTTTTAAATCATTTTTGCAGCTTGGGTGCCACTGTCTTTCATTATCATTTTATTAAAAGTTTATCAAAGAAATGGCAAAGGGTGACAGGCAAATGCACACATACAGTCACGGATGGAAGAGGCGCCCCTTGCGTTCATCTACATGCTTCTTACTGATTCAGAATCAGATGTCAGAAACAGATTCTTGCTATTTCTGATCCTCCTGACTTTAGTCAGTATATAAAATAAACATGACACCCAGTACTGTACAAAATTGTACATTTTTAAAAATGCATTTCCAGTGTAATGTAATGTTTAGCCGGTTTGGTGTTCTGGTGAAAGATGTCTCCTGATAAATTCAATTTGCTTTGCTTAAGATCGTTTGTGTGGCTTTATTTATGGAGTAGGCTTATATTGAAATTGCGTATAAGCGCAGCGTTGAATGACAGACATACAGAAGCAATTGTGCATTTCTGCCACGAGATGACGCTGCAGAACCACTCCTCGGAGTCAGGCAGTTAACTGAGGGATCGCTTCAATTACGGGGCTTATCGGGTGAGCAAATTCTTGTTTTTTATCTTAAAAAAAACGTAAATAAACATTGAAATAATCAGTGGTTTGAATGCCAATTTGCCAAAAGCTGGTAGGTAATTTTATCCTACCAACATTAATTACCAAGTCAAGAGAAGCATTATTCTTAATGATCTCAAAACACAAAACTGAAAGTTTTTTATTACACCGGGACCATTGTAACACGCCGTTTATTGTTTTGCGATGTTATTAACCGCATTAACGACATTCAGCAAAGTTTCAGCATTCTTGGTGAATATTAAAGC